GCCATAAACAGTGAAGAAGACTGGACAGAAATATTGAAACTGAACTGACCAATTTAAACACCTACATCTAACAAGTTAACAGTGCCTAGCCAGTTTGTTACCCAGAAGTTATATGCAGTGTTATTAAATTATGAAGGAGAATGAGAAAACTCCACCAACTAAACATAACAGATGTGCCTCGTGCGGACACTGATTCACACAAACCAGCTAAGAAAATGTGAGGAAAAAGCAGGAAAATTTGAACACTGGCTAGACAATTGATAGTGAAGATGTTGATTTTGTGTGCAATAACCGTAGTGCATATTTTTTAAAATTTCATTGATTTATACAAATACTGAATATAGTACCTGTAGATGAATCACAAGACCAATGTCTTGGAGTTACCCCAAAGTGATGCAGAATAGACTGAAGGTAAGGTAAATGGAAGCGTAGACGATGGAGGACCGCCTCCTGCGAGCAGCTGCATCCATCAAGAGATGGTGTTTGTTAGACTGAAGCATCTCACACATGGTCTGCATCTGCATTTGTTTACATTTCAAATGGTTCTACACTAAAAATGTAACAAACCGTCCAAGAATGATGAGATTTAAGAAAAGCTAGAGCGAGAACCAAAGAAGGAAAGCAAGCATCTGTGATTAGAGAAGCAGAGCTTGTCTATTGGTTTTCAGGAAATGGCTTTCGGGGATGTGGGCTCAAAGCACCTGAGCAGTCAGCATTCCTCTCCATGTTTTGTGTTTGGACATGTTTGGAGGTGTTCCATGTTGGGGGTATTTTGGTATGCTCACAGCTCTCTTCATTTCTAATTTATCTGCTATGATCTAAATCTCATTAGGCGGTGGGTGCTACTTGCTCCTCTCTCTCCAAATATAAATGTATTTTTAACTTTTCAGGACATTCGGAAACAATGTTAGAGTCGTGTACTCTTCCCTTTCTTCTCACAAAATGACATTTTTTTTTCTTGCTGCTGAATTCATTTAGCAATGTCCCCGGAATGACTGGAAGTCAGGTAACAGATATTATTTGGAATAGAAGTGAAAACAGTATAAAATTTCATTACTAACATGCTTATTTAACTACTATATGCAGTCCATTTCTCAACACACAATGCTTTTTAGGAATAAGGAGAGAATGATGTCATCTTTTCTGTATTTTGCCTTCCAATATCTGCCTGGTATTGGATCTATGCTAACCTGGTATTGCCTTAGATTTAACTAAATTGTGGTTTGTTTTTAATTAAAAATTAGGTAACTTGGAGTCTTAGGGTAAAATGTTGCCTGATACACAACTATGGAAAGTTTTCTCATGTTTAAGTATTTCTGAGAAGAGTAATGCTGAACCTTCAGCTCATTCTCTATATAATGTCAGTACAGAAGGTTTCTTGACAACAAACCCTAGTTCTAGCATGGAGAGACAAAACTTGACACCTGAAGGAGCTTCAACCAGGAGACAAGAAAACACCTAAGTTGCAAGGGCAGGAAAGAAAGTCATACGAAGAAGAGACAGAGAGCGCAAGCCCTGTTTACCTCATGATTTGGGCAGCATTCTGGTTCATTTGAATGTGCCAATGCTGTGTCTCCCTGAGGAGTAAAACCGGAAGTTAGCCCCAGTCTCTGCCATATGATCAAGGTAAAGCGGCTGCAGTCCTTTGGGGATGGATGCACTTCCATGGCCTCTTTTCTATGTACAAGCACGCCCTTTATCTGAAGCTTTGCAAGCAATGCTGCAGAAATTATTACCAGTGGATACAGTCACTTCTTAGTTCACGGTCCAAACTGAATTTCAAACGGAAAATAGCTTCATGATCTACTTTTTGACAAAGTCTTTTCTTAGTCAGCAGCATATGTATGTATGAATGATGTATTCGAGATATTTGAGACTTTGGTATGACCCTTTAAATGTAAGGAAACGAAGTGAAAAGAGTAAAAGTTAGAACACACCCATGTGCAATCATTTGTGCAAAAGATGGTGAACTGATAAGTATTCGTACAATTAACAGAGCTCAGAGAATGCAGGTATTTCACACACTAGCTTAGGAACTAAACTCTCTATTTGTGGTCATGTTGCTTGACCAGAAGCAAATGTTTTCAAAACATCATACTTCCAGACATTCACCTGCAGTTACTCTTGAGGCTCAGAAAACATGTGACAGTCTCCCCACCCTGTCTTAGAGAAAGTCTTTAAAAGTCAGTGTCCCTTCCGTTCCGTGCACTTGTGATTTTATTAGATTAGGGCCTCTGGCTTCCAAATTACTGAGCTGACACTTTATTTAAAGGTGATCCAGGGAGCACAGCCACTGTTGATGGTGCTGCCTTTTATGAACTGCTTGAGGAAGAGGGAGGGGGACTTAGTTGATGGGGTAAGAAGACAGCTTTTCATTGTTTTAAATTAAGGCAGAAAATGTCATTTGTGAGTTGACTCTAACACAGATTCTTCTTTATGTCTCTGTGGTACTCTTCCTTTAGTGACTTAGTGAGACAACTTACATTTCCTCTGTCTCTGTTGAACACTTGCAGATCCCAGGTGATTTTCTATGTGAACAGAACTCTCAGGATAAACTGATGCTGACCATGAGGTCTAGGCCCACATGAAAGGTTAAAGGAGGCAGGAATGTCATCCATGTAATCTGTTGATGGATGGGATTTTACCCTTGTGAGACTTGGATGAAAAACAGGCAAACAGGGAAATGGGGGGGGCAGGCTTCACTCCCCATGGCTGTTAACCATAGAGCAATGCATTTGTTCCATATGTTCATTTGCTAATGTGATCTGGATCCAGGCGATGTGCTTTGACATAATTCCTGAGTTATTAAAATTTTGATTTCTTAGAGATAATTCCTTGCATGTAAGGGGGGGTGTACACATGTGTGTGCATGCACATGTGAGCGAGTGTGTATGTGTGTGTGTGTGTGTGTGTGTGTGTGTGTGTGTGTGTGTGTATTTACTACCACTAAGTTCAGGAAAAAAATTAGTTCCCCTGAGTAAAGCATCTTTGCACGCAGTCAGCTCCTTGCTCTAGAGCACTTCCCATGGTTTCGGCCCATTAAGCGGAGCACAACAGCTTGATGAATTAATGCTTATATAGGCACAGTTGGCAGCTTCTAATTAAATAATTATGGCTAAGCAGCTGCACGGAAGCAGTTATGCACCCTAGAAAGCCAGCTGTCAGTTTTATAGGTCCTAAGACAGAGGAAGAGTTAATACCTCGCTCTGGATGCTGGGTACAAAAGGGAAGTCTAGGATTTGCAAAATAAATGCTGTTAGTATGAAGGCCCTGTGCATGGGTGCTAGCCTATCCATAGAGACATGGAGAGCAAACTGACGCTCAACAGCTCAGCAAAGGAAGCAGCAATTATATGGTCAGGAGATTGGGGTATTTCCAGAGCATTCTAAAGAAGGCATAGTGTCAGACAGGTCAGCCCTTGATGAACAGAGAAGCACCCCCGACCTAGATGGCAAGTGCATCAATTAGGTGGGTAAATGACTGAAAGTCGGGGGTACAACCCTGCATTTTAACTATCTTCAAAGCAAATTTCCCCCCAAAAGTTTGGAGAAGGCATATATTCTACAGAATCACAGAAAGTGTCAGCTCCTTACAGAAGGTTTAAAAATCTAGAATCTTATCTCTGTATCCATTGGAACTTTGCCAGACAGAACAAAGCATTATTTGTTGATTAAGCTCTGGCCTAAATGAAGATCCAAAGACCATAATTAGGGTCCCTGGACCAAGTAATGCTTGCTACTCCATACACATCAGTAAGCTCTTGGGGAGTGATTTAACTTTTCTTCCTGGGCCATCTTGTCCGTGCAATCCACACACCCTCACTTCTGAATAGATATGTGATGACCCAGTTTGGAGAAACCTCACATCCCAATGGCTTCTCTACCTACACAAACTCCAAATGGAGAAACACAAGTCTAGGCAAAGCCTGGCCCAAGAACCTCAGTCTTCCCTTTATATTTAAACAAATATAGACAACTTAATCCTGACTTCTGAAGTCACTTCAAAATCAGCAGAAGGAAATAGAATGTTAACACCGAAAACACAGTCTTTATGGAATGAACTCAACACCAAAGCCCAAATCCTGTTGAAACTCAGCAGTTAGATCAAGCATCACACCATATAGGCAAATTGACTGTTCTTCCTGCAAAGACCAATGGCTTGTATTTCACAATGCCTTTCTATAAAGCAAAGCAGTCCACACCAGAAGTCCACATTTAAGCAAAACGAAACAGCCCTACTTGAAAGACGCCGGCAATCACATCACCTCACATATAATACTGATTTTTGTGTCATGTCAGGAATTCGATCTACCCAGTAGCTGAGGTGTTTGCATGTGACTGGCAATTCTCAGGGACCTTGTTCATTTTAGGTGGATCTTAAACAAAGTTCGGCTTAATTAAGCCTGCAATCCAACTCCAGTCTCAGTAGAAAAATGTTAAAGAACCAAACAGTGAATTTCAGACCTGGGGGAAATGGGGGCTTTTCAGCAGTCTGCACTGCCATCTAGCCAAGACCACATGAGTCTGTACACTGTCCATTTACCTTCTGAAAGGCACTGATGAAAGGAAGCCTGCAGCAATCAGCTTAACAGACCCCAAGAGTTTAGCTGAAAGGACTGGCAGTAGCCCTTCATCTGCACTGACTCTGCAAAATCTCCAAACCCTGTGAACCAACGGCCAAGCTGTAGTCAGCAATCTTACAGTCACAGATCACTATCTAGAAAAAAGTCATACACGCTTGTTTACAAACTCTTCCAGCATCATTGGTCCCTTCTAATTTTTGAACTCTGACTATCCCGTGACCTCATTGGAAATAAACAAGAAAGATTCCTCCAGGATCTGATAAGGCATAAGAACTGAATTATAGGCTTCAGGACTCTGTAGTTTTAGCATAGCTACAATCCCAAATCAGTATCCTTAGATTCTAGCAAAGCATGAGACCACATACATCTGTGATGAGAAGTCGAACACACAAAAATAAACAAAAACCTTCCTACTTACGATAGAAGACGTATTCGGTATAGCTCGACCAGATCTTGTCCTCGGTATACTGATTGACAAAAGACGCTGTCACCGAGGAGTTACAGGCCACCATGTGGAATCCACACTCTGACAACATATCAAAAGCTCTTTCCAGATGTTTGAACTTGAGATAAAATCTGGAGGTGTATCTTTCCGGGGCTCGGTCTGGGTCTCTGCTTTCATTCAGAGTTTCTCCAAAGACTTCCTTTGCCAATGAAATCCTTCCGCAAACTAAAATCCGGGGAACTCTTCGAAACTTGGCATCTGCTTGCCCCTCTCTGCCCAAGGTACAGGATCCCCTGTAACCCACAGTAATAAAACCCCACTTGCGGTCATGAGGGAGCAGCGAAGAGGGGGGGCAGATTCTTGTGTCGCTTCCTTGGGAGCCATCCTCAAAATCGCTGTGGCAGAACTCATCTGGGCTTTGCTTGACTTCCTCGGGGGCCAGGAGCTTGACCAGGTCGGGTAGCTGGAAATATTCAGCCTCTCTTTTCAACCTTCCCCTTTCTGGAAAGTGGTCAGGCAGGACGACCTGCCTGTCCCTGAGATAGTCCAGAATATAACGGAACAGGAAGCCATCTCTGTCGATGAAAAACCTTCCCTTGGAATCCTTGGCTAGATCGTTAGCGTTGTCTCTCTTTGGGGAAAACATTTTCCACAAGAGGGAATGGGGGATGCTTATTAATGTGGAATGGCGGGTGAAGTAAACCTGGCCCCCAACGTTCAGCTCTATGACTTCGGGGAAGGAGTTGGGAACCGCAGCCCCTTGATCCCGAGGATAGTAACGATTACAGTTCCCACTCAGAGCCATTGTCTCTTTCTTCTGCAGCTTCCCGGACTTAAAGGTGCAATCCAAGCCAGTTACAGCCTTAGGCTTTGCATCCAGTTGTAAGAGAGGGAAAAGGAGCTAACTTGCTCAAAATGACCTCCTCTAGCCCCGGTTTTGTTCGTTATTCCCCCCCAACAAGGCAAATTTTAGAACAGTCCACAGGTGAAGCAATGCTGGACAGAAAGTTTAAAGGTGTCTGGTAGTGAGCTTCACAGAAGGTAATGGTCAGCTTGGCTACATTCGCTCTTCCATTAGGATGGGAAGGCAGGAAGGCCAAGTGCCCAGGTACTCAGAGGTCTGTCTGAAGGAAAAGAGAGAAATTATTTCCTCAGACCCAGAATGAGTCAGAAAAGGAGAGACCTCTGGGGAGAGCAGAGGGGGAGAGAGGGAGGGAAACCGGCAGGGAGGAGAATATTTTTACATAAGCAGCCGGAAACTATTGACATTAATCACTCCTTAACGGAGTTAGCGCTTCCCTCAGCCTGCGCCCCCTTTAAGTTTAGCCTTAAGCCACTGTCTTCAGCAGCTGCTGCTCACACCGAGCCTGTTTGTAAATCTGATGTCAAAGGCATATGCAATTTTCAACTTCCAAAGAGACCCGTTTTTTTTTTTTTTTTTTTTTTTTTTTTTAGCAGGACCGAGAAAGCAGTGAGTCTCGGCGCTTACCTTAGCGAGTGCTGGAGACTCAGTTCTTGCGAAGAAATAGCCCTTTCCAGAGCAATCGGAAACCACGGCCACACTGGGTCTGGATCTCTCGTCAAATCCCAAACAGGTAGAGGACAGAGGTATCAAAGAAAAGTGCCAGAGAGATGTGCTCTCGGGAAATAAACGATTCCGCACTTACGCGCTCGTAGATGTGCGTTTGTGTATATGTATGTGTGTACGTATTCACTCCCAAATCTCTAGTTAAAAGGGACGGGGGAAAAAAAGTTGAGCCGTGAGAAGGCTGAGTCGAAGAAGTGAAGCAAAGAAAAAAATATTCAACCAAAGCTTCGGCAGGGGAAAAAAAAAGAAAGGAAAACCAAGATCCAAACCTTTAGAAACAGATCCTTTATACCTGGGAGAGTTACAAGAAGTACCTGGACTTAAAGGCGTTCAAAGAGCCCGGAGGCAGAAAGACAGACAGAGGCGCCTGGCCAGGGTCTCAGCAGCCACCCCACCTGCCGGCAAGGGCAAAGGGACACCCATATCCCTGTCAGGTAGGAGCAAGAAGGAGCCGGGTCGGCTGGGAGATGCCTGCGGGGCTCGGGCTCCGGAGCAGGAAGGTCCCACGGTGCCAGGAGCAGTTCGGATGCTGTTGTGTGAGCAGTGCAGGCAAGAAACCATCCAGGGAAATGACTATTACATCATCTTAAAGGAATAGGGCTTGGAGAGAGCGGAGGCAGCTCGGAGTCACGTCCTCGGCGGTGACAGGTTGCCAGCGCTGACGGGAACGTGGCGCCCGCGGTGGGCACTAGACGGGAGATGCTGGCTGCTAGCGCAGGGCGGGGATGCAGCACTGCACCGGCCCCCGTCCAGCCTGGGATCTGGAGTTTGCACCGGCCACCTCTGGGCTCTTTCTTCCTTGTTTCCAACTCCACCCTCGGCCCCCTCCCCCATTAATTACCCTCCACACTGGCAGTGATTTTCATCTGAAAAACCTCCGGACGTGCTCTTCAAATGCATGACTCTGCAGAAGGGCGCACGTCTCCCTCTAAATCATTTTCCTTTTAATCAGAGTAATGTTCAAGTTACAAGTGTTTTAGATTCTTTTTAAGCCTTTGATGACAGTCATATTCATTCAGATATTCTTTCCCCTTCATTTCTTCGGCCAACACACACACACACACACACACACACACAATTGAGGATGCTCTCTCAAAATGATTATTCAAATGTCCATAAAAAGCTAGGAGTTTAGCAGTAAGTCACCGATCTTGACTTACCTGTAAGAAACTGCTGCTTGCAACCTGTTCTGAGGCTTCCTTCTTACTGAGACTCTCTTTGGATGTGCCTGCCCGTCCCAACCCTTCCCAAGAGTACTCCTGTGGAAGACACGCCTGCTAAGAGACGTTTTACCCCTGTCCCAGAGGACTCCGTTAAGTGCATCATTAGAGTTTCAAGAAGGCATTTCCAGGGCAACCTAATACACTAACGAAGTGCTTCCAGTTGAGCCTGCCAGTCAATAATGGCCCAGCCAACCGCTTACAGTAAGTCCGTCATTTCCCCTTAAAATGCCAAAGTCCTGGACTCACATCCCTGGTAAGAAAGCACTTTTTCATCAATGAATAATACAGGTGAGGCACAATCCATTCCGAACAACCTCTAGTTTAAAAGCTGAAAATCAAAAAATGGAAGTGAACATATGAGTTGAACACAGTTGAGGAGACTCCTGCGTTCACCGACAACTTCTGCACCATTAATTAGCTTGAAAATCATCTTTCAACAGCAGACTAAATTGTGATTGTGTGTGTATGTGTGTGCACGTGCACGCGTGCTTAACAAACCTTTCTTTCAATAACCACTTGGTTCCTGAACACACTCAGAATATTAGCTCACTCCCAACCCCTTATTATATATGATTTTTGCTGCTTTAACTAATGCATTAACCTGCTCTCTCTGGCCTCCACTGCCTAGCTTTTAAAGCTGGATCTTTTAAGGAAAGGTTTATTATGTGATGCGCTTCTATCGCCATCTAGTGTCCAGAATTATCAGTGCAAGTCGATATCAGGAAATTTAGCTGAGTTAAAAATGTTATCTATTTTTAAGTTTTCATAGGAAACTAAATTTACTTTGTATTCATTATTCACCCTAATGAGGAAATAAACATTTAGTTTCCACCATTTCACGGGAAAAACTGGATCTGAGACTTCGCCTAATTAAGTATTGCTTTGGGTGAATAAGAAAGGGAATGCTTGGCTTCTGTTGCTGCTGCTGATGTTGAGACAGGTTTGTTTTGACCCCTGATACTTTTCCTCTACCAGGAGCTGAGGTTAAAGGCACCACCACACCTAACCAGTGTGTGTGTGTGTGTGTGTGTGTGTGTGTGTGTGTGTGTGTGTTTGCATGCACACTTATGGCGGTGGGAATGGCCTGTCATGTGGACAGCAAAAGCTCTGCCCCTGAGATCCATCTTCATTCTGAGCCTGTGTTTTAATGTTTAAAAGTGTAACAGCACATTATGACCATTGCTTCAGAGCTCAGGTCCTAAAATATTCTCGTCATTATGTATTCTAGACGAGGGGTATGGAGGAGAGCTGATAAGAAAACAAGAATTTCAAGATTATTATACATTATAATGACAAGTCGTTTTTAAAGAGTTTCTAATATTAACTTAAATCGCAAAGCTAAAAGAGTCTACAATTACAAAGAAAAATGTTCTCCACTCAAATAAGAGAGTATTGGCCTGGTGTGGTTTAATTAAGCATGCCTTTAATCTCAGGACCTGGGAGGCAGAGTTAGATATATCTCTTGTGAATTAAAGGCCAGCCTGGTCTACATAATGAGTTGCAGGACAGCCAGAACTACACAGCGAGTTACTGTCTCAAAAAAAAAAAAAAGTTGGGGTAGGGGTAGGATCTGTCATTGATTCATTGGTTAGGTTATTTTCAGACCAGTGATTCATTTGAAGATAACTATTATTAATTAATTGTACCTACTGATGGGTTTAAAGCTGTTTCTATTGTGCACATTGCACTTTGCTCTTCTCTGCCTTCTCAATCGTCCTCGTAGCCTTTCTTCTTCCTCCCTTCTCCACGTCTGTTGGGGTCTCTATTGCTTCATTACAATCTTTCTACCTTCAGATGATCTTTAGAAACGGGACCTTGGGGGAGGGTTGAAGGAGAGGGGAGAGGCAGGGAGGGAGGCAGAGAAAATGAAGAGCTCAATAAAAAAAAAATTAAAAATTTAAAAAATGTTTTTAAATTTTATTCTGGGTTCCACATATGACAGAAAATGTGATAGACTTAGTGATTTCTAAGTTTGCCTTACTTCACTTAACATGATGGCATCTAGTTCCATACATTTTCTAGGAAATAACAAGTTATTCATTTTTATGGCTACATAAAACTCCAGTGTGACTGGTCATTGGTAGCTGCTTTGCTAGCTCTCTTTGGTAATATTTACATTCTAATCTACCTTGAACCTCAAGAAATCAAAATCATCTGGGCCTCTGTTGCATTGGAAATGGCCAGGAGTTCGGTTTGAAACAGGCCTGGAGCATATTTATGTTGACTCCAGATATGTAGTACTTCCTTCTCCCTCTGTCTCAGGAACAACAAAGAGAGGAGAGATGTAAGAGATGAAAGACTTGAAGGAAGCACGGAATATGGACAGACTTAAGCAGTGCTCAAGTAAATGAGCATCTCCTGGAGGCTGGCAGGAAGGCTGGCTGCTTGGTGCCTCAACAAAAGGCAGGAAGCCAAGTCTAGGCTGGAAGTGTATTCCTGTACTTCATGTCAGCAGATCACACTGCTAGTGTTATTATCCCCTTTTGGCAGCTCTCCACGGAAACACTGTGGGATGGGACACGCAGCCCAAAGGCCAAACAACAGATATTAACAGATTCTCTTAAGGGAAGAGCATGGAAGACTACTTCATTCATCCTGTTCTTTGTGAGATTCAAACACCAGCACATCAAAACACTAATTATGTAAATTAAAGAAATATATCTTAGTCTGTATCCTATTTCCTACATTTCTAAGCCTCCCCCCATAGATGAACTGTTGAAGGTATATTCAAAAAAGCACAATTTTAATTTGGGGTTAATGTAATCACTCTCCACACATACTACGCTCGAGCTTCCTCTCTCATCCAGCAGAGATAGCTTATTTTTTAAAATTTATTTATTTATTAAAGATTTCTGTCTCTTCCCCGCCACCGCCTCCCATTTCCCTCCCCCTCCCCCAATCAAGTCCCCCTCCCCCGTCAGCCCAAAGAGCAATCAGGGTTCCCTGCCCTGTGGGAAGTCCAAGGATGGAAATAGAAAACACTATCCTGAGTGAGGTAAGCCAGACCCAAAAAGAGGAACATGGGATGTACTCACTCATATTTGGTTTCCAGCCATAAATAAAGGACATTGAGCCTATAATTCGTGATCTTAGAGAAGCTAAATAAGGAGAACCCAAAGAAAAACATATAGGCATCCTCCTGGATATTAACCTTCATCAGGCGATGAAAGGAGACAGAGATAGCTTTTATGCTGTCTTTGCTCTCAGGGAGAAAATGGCCCTCATCAAGGCACTTCTGCTCAGGCGCTGTGTACTCACACGCGTTATGCACCCCAAGCACTCTGGCATTATCACTGCCATCGTCATGGCTGCTCTTGATAGAGTTTCACCATGCTCATAGGTCTGCCTCCTGTCCTGCTAAACTGGAATCATGGCTTAGGGCAGGGGACTCAGTCCCCCCACTAAAGTAAAATGGCAATAAGGAGACCTGCCTCATAGGTGTGTTGTGCAGATTAAATATTGCAGTGCACATGGGTCTTCGGGCACATTCTGCAGCTCTCGGTGAATGCTTAGTAACTGCCATCAGTATTCACAATGGTAGCTTAAGTAACGGAGCTCACCGTCAGACTCTAACAGAGGCAGAAAGAAATTACAAAAGTGGCTTAAGACTAAAATGCAATTCTACTTTCAAAATCTTTGTTCTCACTAACGTGACATGCCAGGTAACTACTAATATTCATACGAGCAATTTTTCCGTTTATGGGGAAATTTAGGTTTTGTGACAGAGACAGAGAAACAGAATAA